CCGAGGTGGCCATTTAGGTGACATCGAGCAGGCTAAATTCCGAAACGGCTGATCTAACACAACTCAGATATCAAAGATTCTAACTATCTGAATTGTTGAAAAAGATCTCAAAATGTTCATTGTTTGATGATTGTGATTGTTAACATCCAATGGAAATAAAAATCTAATTTTGTATTAAATGACATGTTTATCCCTAATAAATAAATTAGAATGGTTGGATAAATATTGAGAATTTATTGATATGAAAATTAAGCGGGATAAATGATTCAGGCTCATTTGTACACTTTTTACCCCCGGTTTGCTTAGTCGAAGAATTTTTACTCTGGGAGGTTTGGTTTTACGCCGGGGTGTGCCTTGTTTTGGTGTTTTTCAGGCCTTGGCAGGTGGAACCAACCCCAGAGTCGGAAGTTGGACGAAAGGGCGAAAGATCAAGTCAAACGGTGGAAACAACAACAGTTCACGGTTTGGCCTTTGAGTTCATGGTCACTAAGACCGTGAACTGGAGACGTTTGTCCGTGAACATGTTAAGTGATGTGATGCATTTCAACGTTGGTTCGCGGTCTAGGATTTCAGTACACGGCCATGAACTGAGCCCGATCTGGGTATATAAAGGAGGTTGAGCCAAAGGAGAAAGGAGAGAGACATAGTGTGAGAAACTTCTTCTTCTTAGGATTTCTAGAGTGAGAAAGTGAGGAACCAAGGAAGAGGAGAAACTAGGGTTTCATCTACAAGTAAGGAATTGGGAATTCCTCCCCTAAAGGAGGATTTCTTCAACACAAGGAGCAAGGCTAGCATCTCTTTGATGGTTTCCCTTCTTCTCACTTGTGTTTTCCCTTCTCCTAGCATGGAGTAGTCCCTTCTCTCACTTGGGTGTTTGTAAACCCTAGCTACAATTATGTGAATGCTTGTATGGATTAAATGATTTGTGTGTGGTTGTGTTTAATGTGAATGTGGAGGTATTGTTCATGAATGATTGTGTTGTGTGAAAGCCTATCATTCTAACCTAGGTAGAGAGAAACCCCCCTTCCTTTTTTGAAAAAGGATTGAATGCTGGGTTTTCTTAGGCAATTCATTGCCCCTTAGTTAGGTTAATCCAGAGAAAACCTCTTATTTCGTATTATCACCTAGGGTTTGGTTGTGGGTGGCCGTCCGAACTCCGATTCGAGGGTGAAGTCTAACCAATCCTTAGTCAATAGGTCAAGAGAGTCACATTGGTGGCTTTAATCGTATCCCCTTTCCTCGGCCTAGAGACTAAGTGGGTGGCTTTGGCTACTTGTTAGACTTCCCTAAAGTTTACAACCCCCTCACCACACACGCCTATTCGATCCATCAAGTCGTAATTGCTAGCTAGGGGGAGCAACACCCGGGTAAAGCCTTCTCAATTAGTGTCAAATCCATTTATCTTTGCAAGCACTTTAACTTTAGATTGGTGTTTTCACCAAAAACCAACCGCTAGATAATGTTACAAACAATCAAAGAAGGGGTACATGAACCGACCCGGGGTCGATATTTAAACATACTTGTCCTGCACTCGGTCAAGGTTTATACTTGGGCCTTAATATAGAGTTTTAAAGTGGTGCATTCGGGTTGAGTCAAGTTTTTGGCGCCGTTGTCGGGGATCCAACGGTTCATTATTTTGAAAAGATTGTTTGGTGTTAATTTAGCTTTTAATTTTCGTTTTTGTGTGCAAATCTTGTTTGTGCTAGAAGTGTTGTGGTTCTTTTGAGTGTGTGCAGGAAGGTGTATGGCCTGGAGTAATCTGACACCTTTGGCGTCTAGTCAACCCGCTCAAGGAGCGGCCGCGGAGGAGCAACCGAGGACCATGGGCTATTACATGGCTCTAAGGCTGGCGGATATTCAACCCGCCATTCGACATCCACTCGTGGCTGCCAACAATTTTGAGATCAAGCCCGCCTTTGTCACCATGATTCAAAACAATGCCCTATTCTATGGGCTTAGCAACGAGTCTCCAAGAGAGCATGTTCAAAATTTCATTGAGGCTGCAGGGAGTTTGAAGATCAATGGTGTCCCCGAGGATGTTCAAACACGTTTATCCACATATCATTACTATTTAGCATTGGAAAATTTCAATTTTGAATGACTAATCATATAGCAAGTAGTAAGCATATCATGGTAAAACTTCTCAACACATTCCCACCCCACACTTTAAAATGGACATTGTCCTCAATGGACTAAAAGATATTGAGTCGTGGTAAGGTTGAAATGAGTTACCTTTATTGCGGTTCTAAATCTGAATTCATGGCAACTACTTCTCCATCATTGCATAAGAAGACTCAAAATGTTCAAATCAAAATAAAAAGGGAAAATAGCTTCCTCAAAGTCTTGATACTCCAAGTTGTTGGGTCCTCCTGGCCCACTGTTGGGAAAGAGAGTGGAAATTCTTGCCAAAGTCCTCCATCCATGAACGGCCCCACTATTGCTCTGTCTCTATTGTATAGTTCCAAGCTTGAGTCTCCTCAAGCTCTATATGTCTCTCTTGCTCAAAGGCAATGTTTTTCGTTCATGGTATGCTATGCTATCAAGCTATCCACATGCCTCTTCACGACTGCTCTCAAAGTTGCAATCTCAACTCCATAGCTTCCATGTTGTGGTCCTCCTGCGCACTGTCTGGAAAGAGTGTGAAACTTCTTGCCAAAGTCCTCCATCCACTAATGGCCCCACTGCTGCTATGCATTTACTCTCCTAGTGCCAAGCTTGAATCTCTTCAAGCTCTATCTGTCTCTCCTACTCAAATGCAGTGTTTCTCGTTCATGGCATGGTATGCTAGCAAGTTCTCCACCTGCCTCTGCATGACTGCTCTCAAAGTTGCAATCTTAGCTCCATAGCTTCCATGTTGTGGTGGTGGAGGGTGGCAAGCTCTATAGCCTTGCTATTTGTGTATCCTCTCTAAGTGCACTGTTGGTTTTCCCGTCTCTGTCCATGCTAAGTAGCATGTGAAATCATTCCCGGAGAGGTCTACACCTTTGCTTATCATCCTCTCTACTCCAAAAATAAAAGATGGTGGTATGTGAATTAGTCCTTGCCTCGCCAAAACATCCCAAAGAGAAAATTCATACTCCTTTCTATGATCGTCGATGTGCTGGGCTATAGTAAGTATATTCACCTCTTGGAAGTCCTTTTGGAGAAGTAATAGTGGTGTACCCCAGAAGGTTGTTCACTACCAACCATGTTAGATAAAGCCACCAGTTTTTTAGAAGGGTATGATAAATAATCATGTCACTGGTGGTCACCTTCCTAGTATCTCCTCTATGCCTCATATGAAACCTGGTTCAGCCGACGTAGTGCACGAACCTGAGAAATGGAAGATGAATAGAAGTTGGGGGTGAATATCCAGCAGCAAACCTAGCCTACTAGCTCCTCATAATCGTCTTTCATAGGTCCCATAAGGAAAGTCTTATTGCTAGCAGCTCCTTCTATCAAAGAGAAAAAAAAGAGCATTCGTTAAGATTGTTTCATGCTCTGATGGCTTCCAATAAGCTACAAGGATAGCATCAGAGAGTGGCTCTAACGTATGATAGTCATGAATCCCTAGCTTTCTGATGAAGCAGTCATAACTGTTATATGTCCCAAAAAATCTATAGGTGATGTAGGTCTGGCTCGAAGTCCCTAATGTGTAGGGGTGGGCAACCGGTTCGGTAATCTGAACCGAAACTGAATTAAACCGAACCAAAACCAAAATAATGCTATTCGGTTTGAAATTCGGAAGAAAAATATGAATATTTCGGAAACCAGGGTTCTTTCAACCGAACCGAATTTTCGAAGTTCCGACCGAAAAAACCGAATTACTATAATTGCAAGCTCCAAATGGTGGATTTTTATGTTTGTAGTTGTTTTGAGAATTAAATATTTGAAACATGTTTTAGTGTTTTATGACTTATTTGTTGAAAGGTTTGATTTTATCATTGGCGATGCATGTAATTGCATATTTATTGTTTACATAGGAGTGAAAAATAATTTAAAAGAGAAAAGATACAAAGTAGCCTCACAAATTCGGTTTTGTTTGAAATTTCGAACCGAATCGAATTATAATTCAATTTAGACCGACCGAACCGAATTATAATTCGGTTCAAATTCAGTTTGTAATTTGATGGAATTCAAGTACCCGTATTCATGATTTCGATTCGGTCGAAACCAAACAACCCACCCGTATGGAACACATTTATAATATGAAAATCTTCCCTAATATACTCTTAATTTAATAACTAAATTGGCATACCGATTGTCTTGTTTTCTTTTTACCTCGTGGACCCTACCGCTCTTGCAGTCTCATCTTTATATCTTCATCCCGAAGGAATAAATACGATATACCAAAACTACCCTTTGCTCCCCTTCTCTATTCACATTAACTCCCTGCCCCACCCACCGTGTCCAGTACAATACCATGTAACAGAAGTACACTGTGATGTACATATTTCAACCATTTGTATAATGACCAGCTTGCCCACACACCACCATCAACGTTCGTTCCCTTTCCTCTGCTCGCGCTTTGGGCTGAATCGTCAAATCGCATCCCACAACTACCCTTGCGTGTAACACTTTCCACAACCCCACCTCACGCAAAAGCCCACCCTTTTTATCATTTCACCTCCGTGGACCCCTGCTCCGACATGAAATGACTAATCTATCCCCACTTCTCTCATCGGATTAATTTCTTCCTTCCCGTCAAACAACCATTTGCGACTGCAAATTTACCCACCCCGGAGATTTTACGTCATTTACTGCAGGGTAAAACTGGGAAGCGCGCCGCTCTCTTATCGTTTTTCACCCATAAATCCAAAACGTGTCGTCGTGTCGAACACATAACGGGACGGGCAAGGGCTCCTCTCTGCTCGACACGAGTCCAGATTTACATCCCTCTCGCCACGTAGGACCCAACACGTGGCTGTCGTGTCCCCGTCAGCTCTCCCCCTCTCTTCCCGTTCCCGTTCTCTTTAAAATCCCCACCCCACGCCAACCGTTCCTCTTCTTCGCTTTATCGCCTTCTCTTAAAAAGAAAACTAAATTAAAAAAGCCTAAAGAAATCCCCACACGATCACTCAGTTCCTCCCGTCCTTTCCTTCACGGTCTCTCAACTTTTTTCCTTTTTTTTTTATTTCCTTCAAAAATTGTACTGTGTTTTTGTCCTGTTCTCGTTGCCGGAGATTCGATGCTCGTGGCCGGAGATAATGGATGCCCCGGCAATCGATTTATCTCCCAGTAGCCACAGTGAAAGCGTGACGCAACCGTGTTTAATTACGGTGACTTTTCTTGCTGGTTTCTAGAGAAAACCCTAAGCAAAAGCGAATTTTTTTAAAGCTTAGCAGAGTTTAGAAGTTATTCTATGCTCTGTCTTGCGAATCAGAGGCAAGCAAAAGAAGAGAAGAAAAGAAAAGGAGAGAGAGAAAAAAATCTATATAATGGTGAGGGAGATGGGAAGGAAGCTTCTAGTTCTGGGCTAAAATGGCCATGTCTTCTGTTTCGAACTTGAGAGGAGTCCTGAATTCCGGTAAACGCATTTAGCCTTTGCGGCGGAAATCCAGTAAGCGGATTCCATTATCTTCGCCCTCGCCTGTGGCAAATTTTGTTGTTATTGACCGAGGTCCTGGAGTTTGAATTTTTTTTTTTGTTTGGATTTTCTTCAGACGATTGCGGTTACTCGTATCTTGCTTTGTTGAAGTTTTTTTTTTTTTTTTGTACCGAGGGCCAAGTATCTGAATAGGAATTTTGAGTTTTTGGTGGTTGTATAGGTAATCCAGTGGTTTAGGTTAGATGGTTGATTTGTAATAATGGAGATGAACAGAGTTGTTGAGGGAGTGTGGAAGTGGTAATTGCGTGATCGATTGATTACTTTTCCGAGCGCCGATCATGCCTCTGACTATGAAGATTCAGCCGATCGACTCACACGCTCCCGAGGAGCGCGCTCGAGTGGAGGCAGTGAAGCCGGTGGTGAAATCAAGACTGAAGCGGCTGTTCGAGCGGCAGTTCTTGCGGAGCTCCGCCGCCGAGAAAGTCGTCGAGGAACCGCATTCCAACGGTGAGCTTGAGCCGAGCTCCCTGTGCTTAGCCAACATGGTGCAGAGCTTTATCGAGGACAACAACGAGAAGCAGCAGTCAGTCAAGTGTGGCCGCAACCGCTGTAACTGCTTCAACGGCAACTGCGACGATAGCTCAGAAGATGAATTTGACTATTTTGAAAGCGGCGGCGAATGGAACCGCGCTTCCTCCGTCGTCGGCGACGCGTGTGAAGTTCTGAAGGTAAAGAACTGACCGAAATGTTTGTTCTGTTCAATACGTTCGTCGTACTTTCCCTCCGACTTGCCTGTAGCTGGAATTGCCCTAACGATTCCCTCCCAATTATTTTTTTGCGTGTGCAGAGTTTGGTGCCTTGTGCAAGCGTGGCAGAGAGGAATCTACTGGCGGACACCGCTAAGATCGTTGATAAGAACAAGATTGGCAAACGTAATGACGAATTTTGCAGGAAGATTGTCACTGATGGTTTGACAGCTCTCGGCTACGACGCTTCTATTTGCAAGTCTCGATGGGAGAAATCTGTGTCTCACCCCGCTGGTACTTTCCCCCTTTCCTTTCCACTCTGTTTGACGGGGATTCAGCTCAGTTTAATTGAACTGTTGGTTATGGGATTTGGAGAGTAATGGCATTACAGAACCCTGATTCTATGCATGGGTGATGAACACAGGGGAATACGAATACATAGATGTTGTGATGATTCCAGGGGCCGAGAGGTTTCTAATCGACATTGATTTTCGCTCGGAATTTGAGATTGCTCGGCCGACAAAGGCCTACAAGTTGGTCCTCCAGACGCTGCCATACATCTTCGTTGGGAATTCGGAACGCCTTCAGAAGATTGTGGGGATTGTATCTGAGGCAGCCAAGCAGAGCATGAAGAAGAAGGGAATGCACATTCCGCCATGGAGGAAAGTGGAGTACTTCAAAGCGAAATGGCTCTCCCATTACACTAGAACGACGCCATCACCTGCTGAGCATCAGAAGAAGCAACTTCTGGTTCCAGATAGTAGTAAGTTGGAAGTGGCTTTTGAAGAGCAGGACCCGGGGGCAACTGAGACTCCGGAGCTGGCTCTGGCTTCCACTCTGAAGAGTGATGAGCAGGAACAAGAGAAGGCCGAATCAGTTTTAGTTTCGACTCCGAAAAGTCATGACCAGGAAGAAGCACAAGAGCTGGTGACAGCCATGGTGGTTGCGAAGTGGAATCCACCTGAGACCCTGCCCAAAAGTTCTTCTCAGAGGAGGGCCAAGGTCGTTACCGGTTTGGCTTCGGTCATTGCGGACTAGCCGGAGAAATTTTGATCTTTGTGTTTTGCCCTTGCACCTTTTTTGTTTGTTTGTTTGTTTTGTGTCCAGAAGACTCCAGAGTTTCCCAGTTAGTTATTCCGGAGACCGGAGTAGTAACTAGTATGATATAACTGATCAAATCCCCTTCTGCTTTTTTGTGTAAGGGTCTGATTTTACTAATATCAATAAGACTACGACTATTACTACTACTGAGCATGGGAGAAGTCTGTATGTTACATTCTCTGCACAATCATAGAGACTCCATCTGCTGTTCATGTGCTGTATATGCAGTCCTCATTTTCTTTCTACATTGATCTTTGCAATGTAGTGATGTCTGTGTGGTCCTTAATCCAGGCAATGACTGGAAATGCATTGGATTCACAGACTGCAATTTTCTTCTTGTTTTGGTGAGAGGGGGTCCATCCTCTGTGGATGAGGAACAACTTTGGTGTAACATCTCCATCGTGCTTAGTAACTACTGCTCTATCTAAATGTTCATCATGGTACCAAAAGGGAATAACAATTGGCTTGTCTTGTTGTTTTGTGTTTCTTTTGTTTATTGTTGTATGCAGGTGTTATGATTCACCTCACACATTACGGAGTTATTGACTAGACTTGAGAAGAGCAAAGTGAGGCACTACCATACACACTTATTTTGATCTCATTCGAAGGCAGAATCGTGGGGAGTAAGAGTCCAGCAACAAGGTCAGCGTTCCGGTGAGTTGGGTTCTTGTCGTTGGAGCATGTAGAGTAGTTGAATGCTTGTTTATGGAGCTTGATCGAGTAATAGCCCCTGCTGCATGTAGTCCTCAAGCCTGGTAGTATTTGTGTTCCATTTCCTTGGTCTAATAAAAGTTAGTTGTGAGATTTAATGAAATCGAATATCTTGGTAGCAGACTGTTGAGGAACAGTTCTTCTCCCTCTTTGCCGTATTCGAGAGGGAAGCAGAGACAGATGAATCAAACACCGTGCACTGAAAGATAAGTATTGAAAGCTGTTGGCAGATTGAATGGAAGGGGCAGCGAGATTTGGCTTTATGGTGGTCTCGGTATTCCAGAAATGGGGAAATAAATATTTTGGCGTTTGCTTGTGGCAGAGGCAAAGTTGAATGGATGGAGCCAAAGTTAGTTGGGAGAAAGCAAAGCAAAGCAAAGAGAGAGATGCAGCGACTCGAGGTATCATTGATGCCTCCAATGGAAGCAGCAGCTCTCTCACCCTGAAATGGATATCATCATTTGGCAGGGTTTTGGTGATCAACCGTCAGGAAGCAAAATGTGGAAGGTAACCTAATTTGGTTTCTCAAAAATTAAAGATGGGGGGGCTTTGGTTGACGAGCACTTCATTGAAACAGATGTCTCATCTGACGCGTCTAATTTGTGGCTTTTTATTTTTGATTGATTGCTTTAGCATTAGGTAAAGCATCTATATCATGTCGACTCTGATATGGGGTAAACTCCCAGGTTAAATTTGTTCGTTTAATAAATACGTACGTACCCACTCACGCAAACGTGCTAAACGATCGTTGGGCTCGCGTATTGGACGCTTTGCGCGCGGTCCATGAACAAAACACGGTGAACATTTTGTAAATAAAATGTCATCGTGCTCGTTCGATTGCAAAGTGTCTAATACGCGATCCGACGGTTGGCCGGTTCGAAAGCACGTTTTCACCCACCGTGTCCGTGGTAATGGAAATGAAACAGGCAGGCAGGGAGCCCGTGTGTTGTCCCATTTTTTACCGTGGGATGAGGGTGGTGGTGGAGCGTTTTCTTGGAGTTTTTGTCGGTTTGTGGCAGGGAGTAGGGTCCCGAGAGAATCTTGGGAGTTGAACCCAGGTAAGGCTTGGCTTTTTTTTCTTATATATATTGCTTTGCGCAGAGTTGGTTTGACGTTTCCTAGATCAATCATTGCGTTTCGTAAATTTCTGTGTAGTACTCGTACTGTCACAAGAAAGAAAGAAAGAAAGAAAGAAAGAAAGAAAGAAAGAGAAGATAGATGCTCTGCTATTTTCTTAAATGGCTTCCCCGTTAAAAAAATTAGACAAGTAAGCGGAGGGTGGGTGGGGTTAGGAGTTGGACATCCATCTAATCTGTAGACGGATATAGGGGTCCCCAATCTCTTTGCCCTTTGGATGAGTAAATGCATTTTACTCTCGTGAAAGCAACATTTTACCTACTCCTGCAACGGCCCTCCCTCCCACACAAAAAAACTACACCGTTGGTCCTTGCAATCAACCTCATCATCAATTGTACACTGAGTGTTACGGTCGTCGGCTTTGTGCAATGTTCTTATAGACGGTGTCACGGTGATCGATCCAACGGGGTCGAATGTCGTCGCATTTAGCCGAATAGTGGGTGTTCATCAAGCAAGCAAGTAGCTTTGTTGTTAATGATGTCCTCTTTTTCATTGGGGAGCATGTTACGAATTTGAGCCATTATCTCTTTAAAAGAACAAGTTACAACTTTACTGTTTGGTAGAGTCACATCCCGCCACTGTTACTTTTTGCTTTTTACTTGTGCTCATCATTTCTCAATTGACTTTACTTGTTTTGCTTTTTCTGACCAAAGGGAGACTTTTTATTACTTATCCCTTCTTTCTTCCTCATGTCTAATCCCCCATTCCTCTCCATCTTTCTAGATCTGCTTTCTCTCTCCTTCTCTCTTTTGTGCTGAACGACGAAGAAGAAGCAAGGTGAAGAAGAAGAAAAGGAAGATCGAGATATGGGTGAAGCAGAACATGGAGGAAATCACAGAAGAATCCGGCGAAATAGAGCACCAACCGGAACTCACAGATTATCCATCAAGATAAAGTCGGTTCCTTTCTTCTAGATTTTTTTGGGTTTTTGTTCAATATCGTTCTTGGAGCTCTTCCTGCTTTCTGTTTTTGCTTCTGATTCTTGTTTTTTGTGATAAAGTCGGTTCCTTTCTTCTAGGTTTTCCTGGGTTTTTGCTTCTGATTCTTGTCGTACCCCATCGCGGCCGTCGGGAACCACCTCTGCAGCTTCGCCTCGCTGAAATGGGTACCCTCTTTACTCTGACCTAGCCTTTTCCTTCCCCTTCTCACCGAGGCGCTGCTCGCTGCCGTCTCCCTCTAAAACTCGCCGACTGAAGTCCACCTTCGAAGCTTGGCGGCTGAATCACAGGTAATCCTCTAATCCCAACTTACTCATTATCTTCAGCTTGGGGAGATCCATCCCTTATTCTTCTGTTTCTCCATCTCTGGTTGCTGGTCCGGTGGGCGAGGCAAGGAAATAACAGCTTTTGGATCTTCTTCTTCCGTTTATGGGTTTGTCTCTAGCGCTGGCTATTGAAATCGTAACTTGGCCTGGGTTTTCAAGACAGACATTCAAATCACTTGGTGGGTTTGTGAAGCTCTCCCTTGCCTCTGCCATTATGTTGCGGTAACAAGGAATTCATTAGTTTGTTTATGTAGTTTTGGAGTTCATTGACGTGAGCTTCTTGGATCTATCTATAGTAGGGAATTGTGTTTCTTAGTGCAATGTTCCCTTGCTAGGTCCTGCTGCCCTCATTGTTAACTAAGAATTGCGTGCATTTTCCTATCGAATTGATGGTGGTCTGCAGTTTGTATTTGCTCTGTACAATGTAAACACATGGACCCTAAGAGAAGGTATTAACTATACTTTGTTTCACTTGTGCTAGATTGGCTGCAATTGAAGAGATATGCGATTAATATGACTGCTAGAATGCAAATAAGGAATGCTAAGGACCTAGAAAGCGTTGTTCTGTGAGTCAATCCTGCTAGGTTGGTATATTACATAAAGTAAGCTTTCATGAACTTGTGCTTATCGCTGCTTCCTCTAACATTTCTATTCTCCATTTCTATCCTTCTCAAACTAAAAGGAGGTTGGCCTCTGTTTCATTGATTGATGGGGAAAGATGAGAGGATGGGATGGCTATGGTAGCTCATTTGAGATAATTTGAAAAATGGAGGGAAGCAGGACTTACTTTCTAGGTAAACTTTTCCTTTTCCTTTCTCGGTTTCGGTAATGTTGTTCATGTGCGGCTTCAGTCTTCTTTATTTCATGGATTTTCAGGTCTAGCCTTTTTTAAATTATCTTTGCATACTTTAAGGATTTGGTTCATTATTTGGTTGGCAGGGGAAGAGGAGAGGGCCAGTTTAACAGAGGAGAAAGAAGGCAAAGCCAGGTAACTTACTTTTTGGAGGTTCATTGTTTAATAGATAAATGAGGTTCTCTGGACATTGCTTTGTTCCATGACTAATTCGCTTTTACCTTGATTTCCAGAACTTTGGACACTTACATAGCAGTATATCATCCCAACCATCAAACAACTCCACAACGGGCATGTTGCTGAAATATATGTTGTTATCATCTATGGTAAAAAGCATAATGGTTCTTTGTTTTGGCTACAAATCTCTACTTTTGTTTGCTTTGGTTGGCCATAACTCTAATTTCCATTCTTTCTTCATCCCGATCAATTCAGAGAATTCATGTTGCGAATGAAGAATCTCCTCTCTTTCTTTCTCCGAGTTCGTTTCGCCTAGAACTCCCCTTTCTCTGTCTATGTTCTGCACCCTGTAGAGATGGAGTCACTAAGGGATGGAGAGAAACAAAAAGGTGTTGATGAAATGGAACATGATCTCAAAGATCTCTAGGTTGTTTACTGCCGTTTATTTATTTGCCATCTTTGTCTTTGAGTGGTCGAAGTTTTGCTCTTTAGAACTTCTCATTTTCATGACATTTGTGCTCCCTAGGAACACGCTCCTCTCGGTTGGTGGTGTTAAAAGCTTTATATAATGAGAGGATAACAGTGTTGGAGCAGTTGTCTCATTACAGGCTGATTGGTCCTTGCATTTTAGGTCCGATTACTATATTCTGTTATCGAATTCATTGACTTAAGAGTTTTTCCTTGACGAAACTGTTTTTCTGATAGACTCATTGAAAAAGGTAACAAAATTGAACCAGGGAGACGGGCTGTGGATTCCTGGAGTTGGTCAGTTGGAACTGCCATCAAAGGATTAGTGCAGTATAGGAATTGCTCCAGTCAAGGAAGCCTTCTCCTCGGTGAGTCCTTTAATAGTGAGTTAGTGACAACATTGTGGATTTAATTATGATTCTTGTGTCAATTTAACTCCATGCCTGATGAACCAGGTTGTAATCCACCTTTGGAGATACATAGTGACCACGAAAAGCAAGTGTGGTTCTTGCTACTGGTTCCAGTTGTCAGGTTAGTTTCGGTTTATATGTTCTTAGACAAGTCGTCTCCGAGTATCTTCTAAAAGGGATAGAAACAATAGAAGCTATCTCACTTTGTAATCTGGTTTGAAAGCGGACTATGCAGACTTTTACTTTTTACAAATTGCATTGTATGATCTGATCCTTTTTTTTACTCATGAGTCATGGCTTCAGTCTCATTGCAGTTGCCTCTCAGGAACATGATCCGAAGGAGATGGGCATAGGTAATGAGAAATAGGCAAGGAGACTGCAGTATCATCCAGTGGAGAACAAAATGATAGGAACACCGAGGAGTTACTAAGAGCAGGTGCATCATTTTTCTATTTGGTTTGCTTAGTCTATTTCCAAAATTCTGGATCATTAATGATAAGATTCTTTGTGAACCAGCTTTAGTTGTGGTCAACTAATTATTTTTATTGGTGGTCAGGGGTGTGGGAGAGTGTATACAGAATAGAAGATTACCTCTTTATCAGTTTTTTAAACATGAAAGGACCATAAACAATCCAAAGAAGAGCTTCTGCAGAATATAATGGTAGGTGTTGAACTTCGCTGGTTTATTGATTGTTTGCAGTGCTTTCGTTCTGTGTATGCCTCTTTCGACCAGTAGTTACGCTCTGTTGACTCCATCACTCATGCAAAAATCCTTTTCCTTTCAGGAGGGAAGAGCAATCGTTTGAACAATGAAGGACAGCGAGGTTATGTTTTATTCCCAGCTGTCACCGTACATATCTCACCGTTTCAAGAGGGAAGCGCAATTGTTGATTCAATAATAAGGACCATAGCAATGTTAGTCTTCTCTGCTCCTTCTGTATGCCACCCATCCATAATTTGGTCCTTGCAGGTCAACACTTCCACTCCTTTTTGCCTCACAGATTCTATGTTGGGATTTACAGATTTTGCTTCTTAACTTAAGTTCATTACTAATGCTCTATCGTTGCTTTCAGTTCCGGAAATAGGGATATGTTCTGCGAGATCGGGTAAGAGCAATGCAGCTGAAAGTTTCAAAGCAAAGATATTTGTATCAGTGGATGTATGGATCACTATTGGGGAAAAGGTACAGCCTGGTGGGAACGATTGCTGTATGTGGGAACTTTCAGCCAATGTATAACTCTGAAGAAACCAAAAAAGGTAACGATCTCTTCCTCTTCGCTAACTTCCAGTTGATTGATCTAGCGAGGTGATGCATAATGAATAAACTGTTTTGTTTGGAATTTGCTCAAACAATCAAAATGGTTAAGTATTATCTTATATCTACTTATGCCATTACTCTCTTTAGATATTCATTACAAGGCAACAAACTATTCCTTTTCTCTGACTTTTGGTGTCGCTTCATCTAGCTAGCTAACACATAATGAATGTCACTGTGTTTGCTCTGGTTTATTTCTAATCCGGTTAGAGGAGGCTCGCATGCTATGCTTTTGCATCATGCTCCTTTGACACTGTTCTACTTGAAATTCGTGTTTCCCTTTCCTGTGATATGTTGCTCACTTCTATATTTTTGCTTACAATTACGTTGCTTTTCTCCAAATGAAACATTGACATATACGAGCTCAAACAGGTTGCTAAAACAAATGCCGATAACCTATGTATATTGCAGGCAACTTATGGTTGCCGCACTATGGTACAGAGAGCTACACAATTAGGACTTGGTTTCTTTCTCCAATTTTTTTTTTTTCATTAAAGGCACACCATGACAATGTATATTCTTTTCAGTATGCTATCTGTAATCTTTGTTTCCATCTCACAGTACACACATCAATGTTAGGTTATGCTGAATGTTAAGTTCAGTCGGGTTTGTGAATTTGTTTTATTTTTACTTCATATTAGCTGGTTCCGTCTGTCTGCATAGGATCTCTCTGTGTGGTTGGTTTAATCCTTACTTGAATCCTACTGCCATATGTGAGAGCTGAGCTTGGGGTTTGATGGGAAGGACGATTAGAAGAGTACACCAAGATCCTTAACTCTCTTAAAATCAGTGGGAGAGGTTAAGTCAGCAGCTGAATTGCTTCACAATCTTGGTTTGCTCTGTTTTGGTTTCAGCTGGTGATATGAGAATACTGAACTGAGATATTAGTGTCGGAGTGGTATGCCTCCTTTTTGTATGACCTGGGGTAACCTTTTAGTTTATTCGTTAGTGACCTGTAGTCGCAATGATTATACTAGCCCCTGTATTGCTAAATTTAGAAGTACCATCTGTTTTGGTTCTCGAATACTTAGGTTTGTTAATGTTGAAAATCTGCATTCTGTGTGTCTACATGATGCCTTGGTCATTTTTTCTTTCCCTTTCCAAATGAAGTCTTATAGATATTATGATATGGGATTCGACATGCCAGTGACTCTCCTTCAGCACTCGGTTTTCATTGGAATGAGATTTTGCTATGTTATGTTATTACTCTACACTGCTGTACTGCTAAGACATGAGCTAGAAGCTTTCATTATCAAAGCTTACAATCATTAGAGTAATTTGCAGAGTTGATTTGGTTTTGGGATGAACAATTGTTATAGATGATTTTATGAAGTTTGTTATGCTGCTTTGGATCATTGAGTTTTTTTCATGAAATTTAGCCTTTTATTTTTTGGAATTAGCTATTATGCGGTTTAGAAAGTACTCACCTCTACGATGGATACTTAGGTTGATGTGCTTTGTGCAAAGGGCTGCCATGAGAGGAGATATGCTGTTGTCTATTTAGTGTTTTGTTATGTACTTTATTTAGCTTAATTGCATTTGAAAATTGATTTCGTGTTTGCCTAATTCAACTATCCATTTGTATCCTAAGGAATTCATTGGCACTGCTATATTTGAGATCATGTGTACACTATGAATCGATCAAGCTATCTGACATGCATTTCATACAACGTTCAACCATTGAGGGACAAGGTACAGGCTCTGGTGCTGATTTTTGCTTCTTCAGTGGATGTAGGTTTTGTTGTTCTTTTAGTCCATATAATGCAATAGCAACAAGCCTTTTGCTTTTCTATTTTGTTTTCTCCATCCTTTTAATTGCCTCCATTCTCCTTATTGCAGCACAGAAGTTATGTGAAAGGGCTAATCACAATGGTATCATTCACCATTCCCTTTATCAAATGGACCATGCCCCTTAACAATCAAAGGCTAGCCATGGAGTAGTTAAGAGGTCTGAAGTTGCAGTTCTGGACTGTGCTCTTTACAGCTACTTATGTTTGTAAGCTCTTATATAAAACATGTACTTGTTGGGTAGAGTCACATCCCGTTACTGTTACTTTTCTGCTTTTTACTTGTTCTCATCATTTCTCAATTGACTTTTCTTTGACGTTGGAGTTGGTCCTGTCACATTCAACACTTTCTCTCTTATCTCTCAAGCAGAGGAAGAAAAAGAAAAGAACGAAAAAATAAACAACAACTTTCTCTTACTTTCTCTCTTTATCATTTTGATATTTTTTGGGTTGCTTTTCTTTCTTCCCATTTCCAGCCACATGAACCATTCTCTCTCTCCTTCTCTTTCACCTCTCTCTTATCTCTTTTCACCCGCTCAATCCTACCTGCAACATGAAGAAGAAAGGAAAAAAAGAATCAGCATCTCACCTCTCTCTTGAAGAAGTGAGGATGCAGTTGAACAACGAGTTTGTAGGGGCATCCCGGCATTGATGATCGCGATCGCAGGTGACAGCGCCGGTTTACGGGCTCAGCGTCGACGGCATCTAGCATAAGCGGGCGGTGAGAGTACACCGACGATGGCGGCGATGGATATGGTAGTGGGGCGCTGCGATGGCTTGGAGCTGCCTGGTGTCGACGGGATCGACGATGCTGGCTGGTGCGGATGGAGGGTTGTCGCTGACTCTACTGAACCCTTAGTTTCTCAATGGATTTATCGAACTTAAATCCACGCCGGTGTTGAGCTTGCGTATGGGATACAAGTTGAAGGGTGAGTTTTGAGCTCTTTTTCGTTTTTTTATTTATTACTTTTAGGGTTTTAAATTTTGCTAAAACGTTGTTTTCTGATGGAGGAATTAGCTTGCTAAGTTGTCGGTTGACTTCTGATGGAGGAAGAGTTGTATTTGGGGACAACCCCTTCAACGTGAACAACGGCAGCAAGAACAAAAAATACAACAACAAAAAAAAAAAACAGCAAAAGAGGAGGCGGGTGAAAAGATAGTGTCTTCTTCAATCACAGTAGGTGCTTCTGTCTCTATTTATTATTTTTACATTCGTCGCATCGGAGCATAGCTTTCTCACTCATTCCTTTCTGAATCTTCCAAAATTGAATGCACCCAATGATCTCAATCCTTCTTCCCCATCAAATATGTGGTCGTTTGCGCCCGGTGGTGGTCGTGATGCTGGCTGGAGGAGGGAAGAGATGGAGTTGCCATGTGGCGGGGGCGAAGGTGGTTGTGGAAAAGGGACCGAAGGAGCAGGCATAAGTGGATTTGCCCATCCAGGAAGAAAGACGAAAAGAAGAGATGGAGGTGAAGCAAAAATCGAAGGTAAAGTGAATCTGAAAGAGTGACGATATAGAGTATCATTGTGTATCTTCGTAGGAAGAAGCTGCAACTCATGTTTCTTACACCCTCATAGTTGGTACGCAATCCATGATCCAAACTTGCTATTTTCCAGTCTTACGTCACTTGAAATATAACCTACATTGATCGCAAGCACGATTCTTTACTTTGTTAGTTTGTATGTAGCAAGTTTGTGAGTTCATCTCGAATATTTGGTTAGTCCTTAAACATGTTAACTGCTTTATTTGTGATAAATCCAATTGATGCTCTTTGCTGTTATTATCCATGAAATTTGAGCCTGAACACATAAGAAAATTGTTTAAATTGACTTCTAATTTTCTTGCCTCTGTGAATGGACTTCACTGTGATTACAACACGCTTTTAAACTATTATCTTCATGTTTAAGGTAGAAAGCGCACATTCTATATTTACATTGAGTTTAGCTCAAACATGCTTTTTGGTTGCAGATTGTGCTCTTTGTTAGAAGAGTGGAGATGTAGATCATGAAAATGAAATGCCTGCTCACATAGAAGAAAAACAGAGTGCTCCTGTCGAAATGGCACGACTGATGAATCGAGTTAATCTTGGTGAGCACTCTGTTACTCTTCCATTTCTTTGATACAAGTTAACGTGAAGGCCTATAGTGAGTTGGTACTTTGTTCAGCTTCATAGGAGGCACAAAATTGACTGTTCAGATATTTGGATTTATATATGTGGCAATACTAATTTGTTGAAGATATGGGAATGACTAAAGTCAGGGTGCTGCTCCCATTCACGTGTGGGTAGTTTGTATTTGCTCTGTACAATGTAAACACATGGACCCTAAGAGAAGGTATTAACTATACTTTGTTTCACTTGTGCTAGATTGGCTGCAATTGAAGAGATATGCGATTAATATGACTGCTAGAATGCAAATAAGGAATACTAAGGACCTAGAAAGCGTTGTTCTGTTAGTCAATCCTTGCTAGGTTGGTATATTACATAAAGTAAGCTTTCATGAACTTGTGCTTATCGCTGCTTCCTCTAACATTTCTATTCTCCATTTCTATCCTTCTCAAACTAAAAGGAGGTTGGCCTCTGTTTCATTGATTGATGGGGAAAGATGAGAGGATGGGATGGCTATGGTAGCTCATTTGAGATAATTTGAAAAATGGAGGGAAGCAGGACTTACCAAAACAGGTTAATATGGTTCGGGTTTTGCTGTTTTGGTTTGGATTTACCAATACATTTGGTTTCTTACTTCTTATGCTGTTGTCTATTTAGTGTTTTGTTATGTACTTTATTTAGCTTAATTGCATTTGAAAATTGATTTCGTGTTTGCCTAATTCAACTATCCATTTGTATCCTAAGGAATTCATTGGCACTGCTATATTTGAGATCATGTGTACACTATGAATCGATCAAGCTATCTGACATGCATTTCATACACCGTTCAACCATTGAGGGACAAGGTACAGGCTCTGGTGCTGATTTTTGCTTCTTCAGTGGATGTAGGTTTTGTTGTTCTTTTAGTCCATATAATGCAATAGCAACAAGCCTTTTGCTTTTCTATTTTGTTTTCTCCATCCTTTTAATTGCCTCCATTCTCCTTATTGCAGCACAGAAGTTATGTGAAAGGGCTAATCACAATGGTATCATTCACCATTCCCTTTATCAAATGGACCATGCCCCTTAACAATCAAAGGCTAGCCATGGAGTAGTTAAGAGGTCTGAAGTTGCAGTTCTGGACTGTGCTCTTTACAGCTACTTATGTTTGTAAGCTCTTATATAAAACATTGTGTTGATGACATAAATATTAAGGGGAAATTTTATGAAATGCTTGGTCATTTAGCTTTACTTGCAGAGATTTAGTTTCCAGATGAAGTTCTTTCAATTGATTTTGTAATCCCATATGTTGCATTCATTGCAGTTATAAAGGAATTGCTCATATTTAGTCCTTGATAACATGGGAAACAAGAGCTCCTCTATCCTGTTGTAGCAACCTTTGAGCCTTGGTAAGTGTTTCACCTCTGGGAGTGGGGTGATTAATTGGTTCGAGGTTGCTGTTTTTTTTTTTGTGTGTGTGTGTGTGTTAGTTGGTTCATAGATTCATTACCAAAAACATGTGCAGCTGTAAATTTATAATCTGTTGAAAGTAAGTTAGAGATCAGTTGAACTGATTGCTGCAAATGGTTAGAAAATGTACTTTTGGAGGCTTGCACTAGCAAATTTCATTGAGCCTAATAGTGAAATGATGTTGAAAGTTGAAACTCTTTTAATGCAAGTTCACTTTTGTTCAACATTTTGTGATCATTAACTCTGGTGTTTGAAATGTTATATGCTATTTGGAGGTGAAAATTAGTATAGATCTTTATTGTCGTGGGTCTCCAGGTTTAGTATGTTTAAAAGGGTCAGAAGCATAGTTGTGATGCTCCTTTCCAGTTGTATGGATTGACGTGCCACCTCCTATCAATTCCTTCCGATTCATTCCATCAACTGCCACTCTTATATTCATGTGCCAAGTCTTACTTTTACGGGTGGCCTGATTAACTTTTAAGCATTGGTTCATCTCAACGTATTCCTACATCCCCTGTTTAGATTTCCCCACTCTCGGGATATACGTCTATCTCCCTCCGTTGTTTCCGTTACCGTTCTTCGAATCAAAAGCCCAAGTGTGGACTATTTCAATGCACTGCTATGTTATGTTTGAAACATTACTGCCTCTTCCATTTTCCTTTGTCATTATATATTGGATTGGGAAGCTTAGCAGGCGTTTACTTTTTGCTATTTATTCATGCCGTTAGAGTTGGGTTTTTGGTTAGGATGTCTTCTTTTTTCCTAGGGTGAGATACAATTTTAGTTCCGATTTCTCACTTTTTGATTGTATGGGAACATATTAGAAACACACGTTTAACGCGAAGCGAAGCGAGCGGGTCCGTTCTAGTATGTATAGAAGTAGTAGTAGGCATTAGTGTTGGGGGGGGAAATGGTGTGTGGACCCACCGCATGTGCGCTGTATATCCTTTCTTTATCTGCAACTGCAAGACTGAAACGTTAAATCCTGTGGTTCAGGGGGCACGTGGGGCGAGCCAAAATTGTGGTCTTGAGAAATGACTGGAAATGGTGTTGGATATTGCAACGTGGGTGGTTAAGACTTAAGAAGACGCCGTGCTTCTCTGCGCTTCTGCAAGACTTGCCTTGTTGTTCATCCAACGCAGTGGGGTTTTGAGTTCAGTTTGTTAGGCAAAAGTTTAAACGTATGCCGTATTGCCCAAAACGGGACTGGGTGGGGGGGGGGGGGGGGGCAAAAATATAACCGTAGCTTTCCCTGCCAAACTTGTATTGCAACTAGGACTGGCTATTTGGTCCAGATTGTTTGGTTTTACCCGAAACCGGACTGTATAACCCGAATCGGGACCGCACCGGGACCGGATAACAAACAATCCAATATCATATTCGAGCTTAGATTTGAGGTAAAAACCCGGATAAAGACCGGATAAGAGACCCCCAACAACTAATATCAAGATCAAATTTGGGACCGGACCGGGTCAAGACCGGACCAGATCAAGACCGGACTGTATCCAATCCAATCTTTGGTCCTTATATTCCCGAAAAAACCGGGCTGGGACCGGATCAATTTGGTCCAATTTAACCGGACTGGACCATATAGCCACCCCTAATTGCAACACTCCACCTGGATCACATTCACATCACATTAGGGATGGCTATTTGGTCCGGACTTTTGGTTTTACCCGAAATTAGACCGTATAATCCGAAACAAGACCGGATCGGGACCAGATAGCAAACAATCCAATCCAATTTTTGGGTCTAGATTTGAGCTAAAAAAAATCGTTCGGGACCGGACCGAAAACTGGATAAAGACCGGATAAGAGAGCCGAACACCCAAAATTTAACCTCCTCACCCTTTCAGGCAACTCAAATTCCCCCTGAGGCCATTCAAATTCACACAAGCTCAATCTAAAATTGAAACCGAATTGAAACCGGACCGAATCAAGCCCGGACTGTACCCAATCCAATCTTTGGTCCTTATATTCTCGAAAAGACCGGATCGGGACCGAATTAATTTGGACCAATTTAACCGGACTGGACGGTATAACCACCCCTACCTCGCATACACTACGATACAGTAACATTATGTTTACTTATCAGATATTTATATTCGGACACTAACACGCGGCCAGTAGAATCAACTTGCAAATAGTGGGCATGACATATCCTTAGAGTACTATGGGGTCGTTTGGAAGTTGCGATAGTTTTGTTGAGATTGTCATTATGCATGTATTGTTTACAATGCATCGTTTTTTTTTAGCAGAAACAATACATGGATTGTTTCTGTGATGTGACAGAAACTATCACTCATTTTGAGTGATTGTTATATCTCAACTTTTAGTTGTGATTGTTGAGATAGTTGAGTTGAGATTGTTTTGTCTCAGCTTTTAGCTGATGCGACATACACAATCACACATACCAAATGTTGTATTCTACAATGCATCAAATTCGACAATACATGTATAATAATATACATGCATTCTCAACAATACATATATTTAACAATCGCAACTTCCAAACGACCTCTATGTTTCGAACGTTGTAGCTGCGGCTTTAACCTACTTGCCTTGCCTATGTATGATTAATTTTCATTCTTGATGGTAGTAGAATCCAGAAATTTTCTAGGTAGTTAGTAATGTGTAGGGGTGTACATGGGTCGGGTGGTTCGGGTTTAGTCATTTTAATCACCCGACCCATGCACTACGGTTTGAGAAATATCAAACCCAAACCCACCCAAAAAAATTTAAACCCTACGGTTTGTTTCTAATTGGGTTGGGTCGGGTTGGCGTTATTTTTAAGTAGAAACTCAACCCAACATAAAATATATAATTATTCTATATCATAAAAATATTTTATAACTAATTAAAATTTCAAACGAATGAACCGAGGTGAAAGGTATCAAAATTCACAAATGTTGTTTGAATTTTAATAAAATGTGATCTACTTCAACATATGTCTTGTTTTTTTTTCCACAATATTTGTTGAAATAGGCTAAAAATGTTATAAACAAATGCATCCATAATATATTATTCTATTAAAATTGTACACAAGGAAAATGATTACGTGAATCATAACTATATTCAATTTATGTCTAAACTTTCAATGGAAGAATGCATTAGATTAGGGAGACCATGAGAGAAAAATATGCCGAAATATCTTAATTTTCTCATAAGTATATGACTATATACGGCATAAATATTTTTTAGATCCGAACTCATACTAATAGTTGAAACGCAGGTTGGGTCGGTTCTACGGGTTGTGTAATCCAAAATCCAAACCCAACCCAAAAGAGGCGGGTTGTACAAAAGAAAATCCTCACCCAACCCAAAACCTTCGTTTTAGCGATAAATACGGGTGGGTTGGGTTGGGTTGGACGGGTGGGTCGGTTTGCGGGTTAGTTTGTTCACCCCTAGTAATGTGTATTGTAAATTTGCAATGCATCTTCTTTCCTTTTGGAACATAGAATGGTAGTTTTTTTTACTTTATTATTCTTGTGCTTTCTTTTTTTTCTTTTACAGGACGATGAAACATGTGCTGGAATGCACAAGAAATATAAGACTACCAGTAAAGCAGAGCGGCCTAGGGGATGGACGAAAACATATAAAGAAAGGGTAAATGTTAAGTAGATGCTTTAACATCTGCTAAGTAAAGATTGCTTGCTTGTTTGGGATAATGTGGTCCAGTGGAAAAGCTTGTACTCATTCCCGCAAAGTCAATAATGTCCATACTCGCAAGTTAACCTGAGTTGTCAAGAAATATGACTTCATCTGGGCGCTTCTCATGTGCTTGGGGGCCCGTGGTTTCGATTTGGATAAGAGCCTTTTGATCCATCAACATAATTGGCTTAGCTGGGCAATTGCTCAATTCTAGAATTGAAGAAATATAATTATACCAATTATTTTTTTTAATGAATAATGATGCCAATTATTAGGTCGTGATAATTCTACAACATTTTTTTAAGAATAATCAGAACGCAACTATTGCTGATCATTCGTTTGTTCATCTTTCCAGAGATCAAAGTGCATCTGTTGTTGATTTATCCAATTTGTTTAAACTTGAGAGGATGTACAAATGAAAAAGATAGAACAACACCATGACACGCCGTAGACATGGAAAGAAAGAAGAGAGAGAAAGAGACGGATCAAGGAGGGCGGAAAGCTGGGGTATGGGCATTCTCATGAATCCTTATAAACAATGAAATCTACTCATGGATGCAAAATCACGATAGCACAATGTGGTCCTATACGTGGGTAAGTGTAGCAATCTTGAAAAGCAAAAAAAAAATATGGGGTGCTTCTCGTGAGAAATTGTCATAAGGAGTGTAGCGGTGATACTCAACCTTACAAATCTGAGTCCAATTGAGGTTATTCATTGTCGATAAAGAATTAATGAACTAAAATCTCAATTTGTAGTGTGTCCCAATCTATTGTCCTAAAGATATGAGAAGAGATATCCAACCTAACAGATTTAAAGGGGCTGATTTTACTATTCAAAAGCTCAACTTATTGCAGGCATGTGACCAAGTCCAACAATGGAATTCACCATTTTTATCTTTTTCAAATTATGAAGTATGCATATATGGTTGTTTTGGAGCACTTCTACTATGCTATATAAGTATATAGTATTGGTGCTTTAATGTACAACTTAAAGTTGTACCATAACATTAAATGTGTATTAA